GAGGGATGGTAGTGGATTTGGGGGTTGGACCCGTGTCGAGGTGGGGCAAAGGTGATCCCCCGCGGATCAATACCGCCGCCGGTCGGCCGCCTCCAGTCTGCCTCACCGACCGATGCTCTCGTCGTATTCCCTCTTAAAAATCGAATGCCATTCGGTGCACTCGTTCCGGAAAAAAAAAATAAAAAAAAGAAAAAATCATTTCCCACGAATCATCCACGCCACTCTCTCTCTCTCTCTCTCTCTTTCTCTCTCTCGCACGCGCGCGCCAAGATTCGAATGAAATCGAAATTCGCCTGTACGGAAAATTCGATTTTCCATACGGTTTGACGATTTTTACGGGGTACGGATTGTTTGCTTTTTAACTCGGATTTAACGAAATTCCACGAGCAATGATTTACGCGTAAATTCGTTTAATCGAATTTTTATCGAACTGCGCTGCACACGTGTCGAAATCGAATCGAAATCGATAATAGCATGCACCAATTTTGAAGAAATTTCGAGCGGACCAAAATTTTAAATTACGCGCGAAAATTCGGAAAAGAGAGAGAGGGAAAAAATCAGAATTCTCGTCTTCATAATTATCGATGATTTTATCCGCTCGATTCCACTTCCGCGGATACGCGAGCAATTAGTTTTCACGAGGCTTGGTAAAAGTAGCCCAGCTCGCTTCGAGCGAGCGTGACGAAGCGTACGCTTTAAACCGGCCGATGGACGATGATGACGCAACGTTGCTTACTACACGCTGCCCGATTACTCGCTTACTTTCTCCGGACACCCGTAATATCGTTCGGAATTAACCGGAATGAGCGACGAAGGGGAACGGCGTTCGAACGTTTCGGGCCCCTGAATCGTTCACGAGACGCGTTCGTTTCGTTCTCGTCTTCGTTGACAGAGAGAGAGAGAGAGAGAGAGAGAGAGAGAGCGCGAAACGGATTCTGTGATTCTGTCTCGTTCCGTCGAGAACTTTAGTCCGACTTTAGTAAGATGATTAATAGGTTAAACGTTTCGTAATCGAAGAAAAATATATGCGCTCACGTTACTTTATTTATTTTTGCAACTTGACTTTCGAGCTCTCTGCGCGTTATGCGGAAGTGCATAACCGCGGAGGCGACTGTTAGTGGGATTTTATTGCTGGCGTTCTTCGTTCGATGAAGATTCGAGAAGAATTTTGAATATCTTGCTCGGGCAATTTTTTAATAAAATTTCACGATTTTTCTATAGGATTATATTAGAAAAAAACGAGAATTTTTCGTTCACGAAACGAGATCGAAAGCGTAATTTCTTCTTCTTTTATTAAGAAGTTTTAATACAAAAGACAAGCACAATTGATTTAACAGAGAAATTCGTTAATTTGAAAAACTATCAAGATTGTTCAATAGTAATAAATCGAAATCTTGGAGCGGATTTTCCGCGTAGATTTTTCCGGGAATAATCTCTGGAACGGGAACAATGGTATCAATCGGATCCAGGATATGAATGTTCGGTGTGGCTGGGCCGGAAGCGTGCCTCGGATACGAGGCGAGTCGCGTGTACCTTTGTTACGTCGCACGAAGCCCGACACGAAAGGAAGAGAGACGGAGGAAAAATTGGAACGACCTCGACGTAACCGTGTTTTGTCTTCCCCTAGTTCCCTGAATCGAGCCCCCGTATACAAGCTCCGTCGCTTGTTTCTCACGTCTCGTCGCTTTTCCGGTGAAGCATGCAACTGGTGAACTGTCGAAAGAAAAGGCACGACGCCAGCTATCGTTGCGCTGAAATACACGACGACTGGTCGATCAGGTTCGAACTCGAGAATGCCCGATGTCGTCGATTCGAGGTCGAATCGAAGTGAGCTTGTACACGCCCCTTCTCTATCCAAATCGTTCTATTCGAATCGTTGAACTCGATGAATCGATAAGCTAACCTTCAATCACCAATCCAAAATTCGTAATTCCGTCCAAACCGGACAATCTCTCCGTTCAAATCGTCGACGAGCCCCCCTCGAAACGAATCAAAACGCTCGATTAACGTTCAACGCGTCATAAGGAACTTCCTATCTCGTGCAAACGCGTCATGGACTCCGTTCCAAGAAGCGTTTTGCACAAGAGTTTTCAAGTATCCAGCTTTCCATTCGCGCACGGGTGTGTTGCTATCGGTATATTATTTCCACTTTCACGTTTCTTTTTCCTTCTTTTTTTCAATCGCATTTTTCCTCGTTTCCAATGATTATCGTTCGTATCTGGAAAAAATCCAGATGCCCATCTGTGGAAAATCGAACGCTTCGAATCCGAAGCGAAAAAAACCGACTTTTAATCTCTCCCCCTGCTATTCCCCCCTCCGTCACTGTAACAACACACGTAACGTAATCAATCCTCGTCATTATCCGAGCGACCGCGGTCTTCCGTAGATTTCACGAAATCCCTCTCGAAAAAGTAAGCTCACCGGGGATTTTTTTTTTATCGCTCTTTTCTTTCGCGGCAATCGCGGTCTTGGACGATTAATTTCGACGAAACATCCGAGTTATCGACCAAGGAACTGCTTTTTTATCGCGTGCGTTATTTCGTTATTCGCACATTCTCGAAACGATATTTTCAACGCGATTACATCCAATCATCGCCACTTAGTAGGCGTAGGCGTGAAAGAGTTGCAAATTCGATCGATCGATAATCGTGGGGAGGGGGGAAGAGTAGGAACGTGACTTTTTTCTTCTCCCCCTTCTCCCCCCTCGAGCTTAAAATTTCCCCTCCCCGCCGGTTGCGTAAAAACCGGTAGGCCGCGGTGACACGAAAATCCGCAAGCTTGGAAGCCCCGTGGTAATCGATTGCCCGTGTTTGTCCCCGCGATATTGTCCCCGTCGCGCCGTGGAAAACGTACGAGACAAGGTACAAGCTTGTATAAACCGGG